GAATATACAGTTCTAATACATGTATGGTTTCATGTAACCATCACCATAGTCAGGATACAGAACAATTCTACCATCCAAAAAGGCCTTCTTGCTGTCCTTTCAGTGAAACCCTTCCCTCACCCCAGCTCTTCTCTGTTCCTATAGCTTTACCTTTTCTAGAATGTCATATAAATGGAACTGGAAAGTATGTCACATTTTGAGTCTAGCTTCCTTCACTTAGCATGTCACTGAGATTCATTCATGTAGCTGCATGTACTACTGGCTCATTCCTTTTTATTGCTGAGTAGCATTCCATTAATAGTTGTACCAAAGTTTATACATTCATTTATTCAAGGACATTTGGGTTATTTCCAGTATTCGGTAATTATGAGTAAACACTGCTATAAACACTCATGTGCAGGTTTTTGCATAAACATATGTTCTCATTTCCCCTGAGTAAATACCTAAGAGTGGGACTGCTGGTCCATACGGCAAGTATATGTTTAACTTTATTGGAAATTGCCTGACTCTTTTCCAGAGTGGCTATACCATTTTGCGTTGCCATTAGTAACATATGAGAGTTCTAGATGCTTCTCATCCTTGCCATCATTTGGTATTTTTTCCTCTTTTTACCCATTCTATTAGGTGTACAGTGGTTTCTCATCAGTTTTAATTTGCATTTTCCTGATGAGAATCTTTGTATGTGTTCACTTACCATCTCTATATTGCTTTTAGTGAAGTGTCTCTTGAAATTATTCCACCACTTTTCAAAAATTGGGTTGTTGTTTTCCTACTGTTAAGTCCCGAGAATTCTTTTTATAATCTTGATGAAAGGTCTTTCTTATGTATGAGATTTGAAAAATTTTTTTGTCTGTAGCTTTTTTCATTCTTTTAACAGTCTTTTACAGAGCAAAGGTTTTTTCATTTTGTAGAAGTACAATTTATCCAGTTTTTTAAATGGACTGTGCTTTTGATGTTATATCTATGAACACGTTGCCTAAATCAAAGTCATGAAGATTTTCTTAGAAGTTTTTCTTTTTCAGAGATAGCGTCTTGCTCTGTTGTTCAGGCTGGAGGGCAGAGGTGTGATCATAGCTCACTGCAGCCTCAACCGCCAGGGCTCGAGTGATCCTGCCTCAGGCTCTCAAGCAGCTAGGACTATAGCTGAGTGCCATCATATCTAGCTAATTTTTAAAAATTATTTAGGCCAGGCGCAGTGGCTCACGCCTGCAATCCCAGCGCTCTAGGAGGCTGAGAGGGGTGGGTCACCTGAAGTCAGGAGTTCAAGACTAGCCTGGCCAACATGGTGAAACCCCATCTCTACCAAAAATACAAAAATTAGCCAGGCATGGTAGCGTGTGCCCGTAGTCCTAGCTACTTGGGAGGCAGAGGCAGGAGAATCGTTTGAACCCGGGAGGCGGAGGTTGCAGTGAGCCAAGATTGCACTACTGCACTCCAGCCTGGGTGATAGAGAGACTCTATCTCAAACAAAAACAAAACAAAGCAAACAAATGAACAAAAATTATTTGTTGTAAAGACAAGGTCTTGCCATGTTGCCTAGGCTGGCCTCAACCTCCTGGGCTCAAGCGATCCTCCTACCTCAACCTCCCAAAGCACTGGGATTAGAGAAGTAAGCCACTGTACCTGGTCTGTTTTCTGAAACCATTTGTTGAAAGCTATCTTTGCTCCTTTGAATTGCCTATGCACTTTTGTAAAAGATTACATTTGTATAACCAGTTAGTAGAATCCAATTCTGGACTCCATTCTGTTCCATTGACCTATGTGTCTATCACTTCATCAATACCACACTGTCTTGATTAACACAGATTTGCAGTTAAGTCTAAAATCAGGTTGTGTGATTTTTTTTTTTCAGCTTTATTTTTCTTTTTCAGAATTGTTTGGCTGTTCTAGTTCCTTTGCCTTCACACATAGTTTTCATTTTAATTTTTCTGAGACAGGGTTTCGCTCTGCTGCTCAGGCTAGAATGCAGTGATGAGATCACGGCTCACTGTAGCCTTGACCTCCTGGGCTCAGGCAATCCTCCTGCCTCAGTCTCCTAACTGAGATTGCATGTGTGTGCCACCACACCTGGCTAATTTTTAAAATTATTTGTAGAGATGAAGTCTCCCTATGTTGCCCAGACTGTTCTCAAACTCCTGGGTTCAAGCCATCCTCCCGCCTCAGCCCCCCAAATTGCTGGGATTATAGGTGTAAGCCATCATGCATGGCCACACATAGTTTTAAAATCAGTTTTTTTCTGTTATATTTTCCTTTTTTTCCCCTAGGATATAGATTCTGAATATTTTACTTTTTATGGTCTGCATTCCTCCCATTTCTCTTAATATTCAATTATATTTATTTATCATATGAAATTACTTAACAATGACTTATATTTGGTGACTATTTTACCACAAGTCTTTGTATGGGCCAGGCACTGTGGCTCACGCCTGTAATCCCAGCACTTTGGGAGGCCAAGGTGGGTGGA